TTGGCTATCCCTTATAGCTATTGGGTTTATATAATTACCCGATACATAGATTTTGAGGAAGTCTTTTATGAAATCGTTGAATAGCTAGTTAAAATTGTATTCACGATAGTCAAGCTTTTACTTTCCGGGCAACTGCGTCAGTATTGGATATTGGTGTGTGTCCAATACTAGTGCCAATTGAAGGTTTCTATCACTTGTAGTACAAAGTACGAGATTCTATCTCGCATGGCTCATCAGTAACTGACTCTTAGACCATGTTTGGTAGTGTCTTATAGGATATAGCATTGAAGGTATGAGAATTCTATTCGAGGGAGAGAAATAGTATGACTCTTGAGGGGCAGAGTTAAAAGCTTTCTTTGTTTTGGTTATACTTTTGGAGTAATGAGGATATACAGTATTGTATAGGTGGTTTGATTTTGTGGAGTTTCAATTGAAATGACATACTTCTGTAAGCGTCAGGATCTTGGTGAATTATCAATGAAATAGCTTTGACTTATAAAAAAGTTATAAGTCAAATGTACAAGATGTATCCACAGGCAACACTATATAAGAAAATACATATCCAAGAAATTCATCCTAGATTTGAAATAATTTCCTTGTCTGCACCTTTTCATAAAACAAAATCCTAAAGTTGAAACAATTAAGGATTACTTTATTTACTCGAGGGGGAAACTGTTAACTTTTCTTTTAAGAACGTCCTTGTGAATGAAGTGTACAGTAGCCTACTTTGGATTTTAAGGTGTTTATACTGATATCATTACTAATTTTGATGTCCCTTTTGTCAACCTGTATGATATCTTATTTATCCTTGTACATGTCATATTTTGTTGTCTCTTTTCTCCGTGAAATAGAAATAATAATACGGGTAACTTATATCTACATAATTAGCAGTGCTGGTTCTAGTGTACAAAACAATAGATCAATGAAACTATGAAACATTAGTATTAGCTCCCTCATGATTTTACTTAATGTTAAGCACAGTGATTGCCTTTGAAATTATAGCCATCAGTCTTACTTTTTACATTCTGCATATTGTGCTCGATCTATAATTAAAGAACATAGTGCATATTTTAACTTCAAAATCTTGATGATGGTCATTAGACACACATTCACTAGCTTGGAAATGAGATCTAGTCAATGCTGTGTTATATCTCCTAGCTTGAATAGAGGTCAGTCTCACTAGCAGCTGACTTTTATCATCTCAAATAAGAAACTATATACAAGGAATTGATTATCTTTATGTCCTGTCTTGTGTTTCTTAGAGCTGTTTATACTCGGTAACACCTTCTGTTCTGAATGATCTACTTAATTGATCAAAACCAGGCTTCACATCAAGGTCTTGGATTCACACCAGGCTCCTCAGCCAGGCATTATTCCCAAGGCAATCCTTATCCTAGTGCAAACTATGGTACTGGGTCTAGTTCTCTGTGGGAACCAGGTCACAGAAATTGGCTAACTCCTGACAGAGGCGGAAGACGTGAGAGGGATCGGCACTCTGTTAACATTTCTACTGAATCACTTGGTATGGCAAGTGAACGAAACCGAGGACCAAGGGCATTAAAACCAAAGAGCAAGGGTCCCATTGAGGATAGCTCTTCATCTGTGATCCATAAAGAAGTTGAGTCAACTAATACTTTACAGCCGGAGCAGTATAATCGGCCTGAATTTGTCACTGATTATGAGCATGCCAAGTTCTTTGTCATCAAATCCTTCAGTGAAGATAATGTTCACAAAAGCATCAAATATAGTGTGTGGGCTAGCACTCCTCTGGGAAATAGAAAGCTTGATGCTGCTTATCGTGAAGCAAAAGTGAGGAATGCTGATTGTCCTGTTTTTCTCTTTTTCTCGGTATGTTCCTTCAATTCTTATATTGGCTTGTGAGTTAAATGAATGCATCACTCTCCTGGAGAATGGTTCATATACAGAACAACCTTTGTCGTTATTCTCAGAAGGCTTCTATTTGTCTTTCAGTTATTTTTCTTTTTACACTTATGTTTTTCTAAATTTGTATCTCTTTTTAGCACGGTATTTGAAAACTTAGTAAACACCAATGCATGCTAATAAGTATACATCTTCTGTATGATAGGCATGCTTAAACTTTTGAGCTTTTAATATTTGGGTATGACTCTAGGTGAATGCTAGTGGACAATTTTGTGGGGTTGCTGAGATGGTTGGACCTGTTGATTTTGAGAACAATGCGGAGCACTGGCAGCAGGATCGATGGAGTGGGCAATTTCCTGTTAAATGGCATGTCATTAAGGACGTGCCTAACAGTCAGTTCCGCCACCTACTTCTGGAACATAATGACAACAAGCCAGTTACTCACAGTCGAGATTCTCAAGAGGTATATATCTTTTACTAATATGCCCTTGTAATCTTCTACTTTTGTTCTTGCTTCTAAGATTGTCATCCAGTTCTTTTTTGATAAGGAAGATTATCATCCAGTTCTCAATGTCTATTACCAATTGGAGCTGCAAATTTTCTGCGGAAGTCCTTATCTTGAATGTAGCTAGTCCAGATCTTTTGCCTGTATCATCACAAAAATTATCTCAGGATAGTGCCAGCTTGATTTGCATATATTGACCAATGGCTGCTAGAAATTTCTCTGGTTTTCTTTTTTCTTTCTGTATGCTAACATTCAAAACCTTGGCATTGACAACCATGTGCCCTTGCTCTTGCTTGGGCTATGTGTCCTATAGCTTGTGTTTATGAGTTGCATTTGCTTCACATTGTTGTCTTTCTGATCATTTCAGGTGAAATTGCCAGAGGGACTAGAAATGTTGAAAATTTTCAAAAACTATGAAGCGGATACCTCTATATTGGATGATTTCACCTATTACGATGAGAGGGAGAAGTCCTTGCTGGAAAAGAAGAGTAAACAGCGAACACTTCAACCTGGTAGTGCTGCAGTTACTACTGCAGCTGACACAATAAGTCAACTAGCGGATAGTCTTGCCGGCACATTAAACTTGGAAGGCAACAAGAATTTGCCTTAAAAAGAGTTTGTAATGCTTAAGCCTGTATCAGATTTCAGAGGCAATATCAACTGCTGTCATTCAATGTTAGTTGGTTGGGCAACCAGCTGGCTCGTATAGTTAAGGAGATTGCTAACAGCATTTTGGGAGGTGGCCTTTTCATCACCTTTGGATCAGAAAACTCTCTTTATCTCTTTCCTTTATTTGTCATTTGTTCAATGAGTTGGTTGTGATTTGCAATTCTTGGGCAAGGAGAGGCAGCCAGTAATGTTAGTGCTAACTGTTTTCCCGCTATTTCTTCGTTGTTTCTATAAGTAGGTGATGACAGGCAATACAGAAGCCATCCGACATCTGGAAATTTGTGGATCTTTCCGGGCTGATGTTTTATGTACTCTAGTTTTTCATAGTTTCAGGCAGTACCAATGGCTGCTTTTGTATTCCTATAGAACTGCCAAAATGAGTGATAATTGGGAGGAGGCCTTAAATATCTTTAGAGAAATCGAATGACTTGATACCGAGCCTGTATTTCTTCATCAACCAAAATAACGTCTGGCCTTGGCAGTCAGATTATTTCGTTTATGGAATTGTAGGTATTGATGTTTTCTCATGCTGCAATGTACTAGCTATTGTCTTTACTCCTACCTTTTAATACGGTCAGGGGCGGAGCTAGAAAAAATTCATTATATATGTATGAATATTAAATTTAGAACCCAGTTATTAGCACTTGAAGTCTTCGTTCTAAAATTTAGAACCCGTGAAGTTAAAATCCTAGTTCCAACTCTGAATATTGTAGCCTTCCATTCATTTTGCATCTGCATCAAAGTTGAAAAAATCATCATTGTCTGGGAAATTCATCTTGTAAGGTGGAAGGATGTTAATCCAAATCATAGATTCTTATAATGCCTCTCCCCAGGGAATGGTAACCGTGAATATCCGAAAGTGCACGGATCTAGTACCCTGTTGAATGATCCTTCAACTACTTCAAAGGAAAGTCGACGAGGAAACATATTTTCACTAGCATACTTGCTCGAGATTGAAGATGGCTTATCAGGATACCTTAAACAAGTGGTCGATTGGGAGATTTGTTTCTCATTCGAATGTGCATCAAGATTTGATTATGGTCTCTTTACCACTGAAACCCACGATTTGATAAAGCAGAATTTGAGCAATGCACCAAACGCAGAAATACATCTAAGGTTTAATCTGAGGCCAACCAACTTCAAAGCTTCATCTCCTTTTTCTTCTTATTTCGAAAGTCCAGTATTATACCTCCTCCATCTTGTTTTCTTCTTTTTCAATTGTTATTTTTATTATTTCCCTCCTTAAAGGAGAACAAAATGAAACAGTGGCGGGGTGGACGTGAACTAAGATAGTTAACTTATTGTCTCCAATAATTAGAACAATTAATCCCCATCCCTTAAACCAACTACTATATCCTGATCATGCAAATTGATTTGAATGTGTCCCATCTCCAAGCAAAATCGTCATTTTTGCTCCCCAATAATCAGAATTTCAATCCTCAAAAACCTCTCATTCACCAACACCACATTGACTAATACATTGTGGTCATATAGATTGATTTTAATGAATTCAGTCCTCCAAGCAAAATATGTTTACTCTTGCTACCATATTTCCTGCAATGTAAGATCAAACGTTGGGAGCCAACACAGATGAGGGTGTGGGCATGGATCAGAGAGTAACTTCTTCAGGACCTTATACATTCAAACTTGATAACAACAAAGGATAAGGTCTACAATGCCATAAAAGGACCGGTATGATACACATCAGCCCTCTCTTCTACTACTTATCAGCATCTTAAATCAAAAGAGAAAGGAGGGGGAGGGGGAGGGGGGGTTAAAAGGATACAACAATGAAACAAAAAGTTCTCATAACTTACTCCCTTTCCTATCGAACAAAGAAATTATGCCTAATAGATACACATAAAGGACTTAAAATGAGCTGTTTTTTTGGGCTTCCCAAATTCTTTACTCCTGTTCTTACTGCTTCTAGATTCCTCTTCCCACATTAATCAGTAGTCATCGGTTGGCTTATGCAGCACCTAAAACGGGCCTTTCTGACAGTTGTCATGATCTCTGTCTCTGCAACCTCGAGCATTCTGACCACTTGAGAGAATGGTGGCCTATTATCAGGGTTAGCATCCCAGCAGCGGGTCATGATCTCACTTAGGACAGGCAAACAATCATTGGGGATTGCTGGACGAACACCTTTGTTGACAACAGCAAAAGCTGCCTGCACAGCGGTCATTTTCTGGAAGGGAAGCATCCCTGTTATGAGTTCCCACAAAACGATGCCAAAACTATAAACATCGACTTTGTGGGTGTAAGCTCGATGCTGGATCATCTCCCTGCATATCAGAGTAAATGCATTAAAGTAACCAACAATGAAACACACATGCTATACGAATTTGGATGTTTTTCTTTGTTTTCCAAATGAGAAGAATCCTAATATATCACAAAACTGGAAGAAAAAATATCTATACCGTCAGACCTCTCTATAACAGCATCCCTATATAACAACATTTCACTATAAAAGCCAAGCTTTTCCGGAACCAATCTCCATGTTAAGTTATAATATATGTTCTCTATAACAGCACCTCGCTATAACATCCAAAAATATTCGGAACGAACGAGGCTGTTATAGAGAGGTTTGACTGTACTAGGCAGAATTGCTATAACACAAAGATTTCTCACCAGAAACCTAATTTCCTTTTTCAGATGAATAGACATGCTGGGCAACAACTTTGTCTGATATGAGGCAGAAAGGTTAGGGGCAGGTCTCACCAATCTCATTCCGCATGAAGGTCAAAATCCTAAGCTGGAATGTGCAGGGCCTAAATGACAAGAATAAAAGTAGTACTTTGGAGTCTCTTATTCGTAAATGGAGAGTAGACATCGTTTGTATTCAGGAAACTAAAATTGAGGATTGGAACAATTCTCTGTCCAGGCAAATATGGGGCAACAGATGGGTATCATGGGCTGAACTCAAGGCTTGGGGAAATAAAGGGGGGATCATTATCATGTGGGATAGAAGGTTGTGGCATTGTGTTGATACTCAATCAGGAGACTTCTCAATAACCTGCAGATTTGAGAGTTTAACTGAAGATTTCAAATGGGCTTACACAGGGTATATGGTCCTCATACCAACCCAGAAAGGAAGGAATTTTGGCATGAATTGGCAGCAATCAATGGTTTATGGTCAGACCAACGGGTAATCGGCGGAGATTTCAACGCATGAAGACATGAAAGTGAAAGACTTAATTGCTCCAGAAGATCTAGGGCAATGATCGACTTCTCAAATTTTATATCGGAGCTGGGCTTGATTGATCCTCCTCTTAATGGAGCACAATACACATGGTCAAGAGGGGAGAACTTTACACAAGCATCCAGAATTGACAGATTTTTGCATTCAACTGAATGGGGTGATTCATTTAAAGCAGTGAAGCAGCTAGCAATGCCCAGGGTAATTTCAGACCACAAACCAATCCTCCTGGAAAGTGGAGACTCGGAACCAACACAATCTTACTTCAAGTTTGAAAATATGTGGCTACAAACTGAAGGGTTTATGGACATGATAAAGGAATGGTGGCAATCTTATACAATCATTGGCTCCCCAGACTATATTGTCATCCAGAAGTTGAGATCCTTAAAGGACTTAACAACCTGGAATAGAGAGGTGCATGGCAAGTTGGAAGACAGAAGGAACGAGGCACTTGATGAGTTAAGACTCTTGGATCAAGTGGTTGAACATAGGGTACATTCTCCAGAGGAAAAGCTGATGACTTTCAATCTCAAATTGGAACTTCAACAGATTGCACTAGCTGAAGAAGTCTCTTGGAGACAAAAATCCAGATGCTTATGGCTAAATGTTCGGAGACAGAAACAAAAATTATTTACAGAAAATTGCTAATTCTCAAAGGAGGAACATTTGCATTGATAGGCTCAAGGTGAGAGAAAATCTAGTTGAAGATAAGGAGCAGATCAAACAGGAAATACTGGATTATTATCAGGCTTTGTACAAGGAGAGGGAACCCTAGAGACCTACAGCAGAGTTTGAGGGGTTGCCCTCATTATCTGCAGATGAATGTGTTGATCTAGAATCACCTTTTGAGGAATCAGAAGTCTTGTGCTCCTGATAAAGCACCAGGCCCCGATGGGTTCACTATGGCCTTCTTTCAAAAGGCATGGGACTTTATTAAAACAGATATCATGGAGGCTCTCAATCACTTCTATCATAGATGTCATATGGTCAAATCCTGCAATGCTGCATTTATTGCTCTTATCCCCAAAAAGAAAGGAGCAATAGAGCTCAGGGACTATAGACCAATCAGTTTAATAGGGAGTGTTTACAAGATAGCTGCAAAAATTTTGGCTGAAAGATAGAAGAAGGTCATTGCCAAGTTGATCTCTGGGCAACAAAGTGCTTTTATAAAAAAAAAAAGGCAGATCACAGATGCCTCCCTGATTGCCAATGAGGTCTTGGATTGGAGAATCAAAAGTGGTGAAACAGGTTTGCTGGGCAAATTAGACATTGAAAAAGCTTTTGATCAACTGAGTTGGGCATATCTCATCAACATCTTAAAGAAGATGGGATTTGGAGATAGGTGGATAAGGTGGATAAAATTCTGCATATCAACTGTGGAATATTCCGTGTTGGTTAACAGATGTCCTGTAGGTTTCTTTTCTCCTCAAAAAGGCCTCAGGCAAGGAAATCCACTCTCTCCTTTTCTCTTTATATTGGCAATGGAGGGTCTCTCGCAGATGCTAGGTAGGGCAAAGGAGCTTCGATGGATACAAGGTTTTCAGGTTGGGAGAAATCCTGCATTGATCTTCTGTGGTGCGGAAAGGTCACAAGTAATCAATCTCAACCTCATTTTACTCATTTTTGAAGCATTGTCTGGGCTACACATCAATATGCTTAAAAGCATTATTTATCCGGTGAATGAGGTTCAAAATTTGGAGAAATTAGCTGAAATACTTAGCTGCAAAACTGGCTCCTTCCCCACAACTTATCTAGGACTCCCCCTGGGAGCCAAATTCAAATCCACTGGAATTTGGAATGGAGTCATTGAAAAAGTTGAAAAGAAACTAGCAACCTGGCAAATGCAATATCTCTCGATGGGGGGCATACTCACACTGATCAGTAGTGTCCTTGACAACATACCAACTTATTTCCTATGCCAAGCTCAGTCCTGAAACGACTAGACCGGCTAAGAAGGTCTTTATGGGAAGGAAACAACGACACTCACAAATTTTCACTTGTTAGGTGACCAAAAGTAACTCAACCAAAGTCTTATGGGGGATTGGGTATCAGGAATCTTAGGCTTCACACCAAATGTATGCTAATGAAATGGCTATGGAGGTATGGACAAACTGAAGCAGGTTACTGGAAGGAGATCATTGACGCCAAATATGGAATTCAGAATCACTGGAGCCCCAAGAAAAGTCCAGCACCTCATGGAGTGGGTTTATGGAAACACATCAGCAGCTTTCAAAATGATTTCTTTCAGAATACATCATTCAAAGTTGGTAGTGGTGTTAATTTGAAATTCTGGAAAGACATATGGCTTGGTAATACAGCACTAAAGGATTCATACCCAGGTCTATACCTAATAGCCTGCAATCAGGACTCAAATATTGCTCAAAACAGAGAGAATAACATTTGGAATCCAGTGTTTAGAAGAAACCTTCAGGATTGGGAAATCAATGACTTGCTCTCCTAGCCACATTGGGAGATTTCATCACGGAAGATGAACCAGACAGAATCATTTGGGGAAATTCAAAAGAAGGAAAGTACACAGTCAAAGAGGGTTACAACCTTATCTGCTCACATAGTGGAATACTAGAGGATTGGCCCTGGAAACATGTATGGAGGACCAGAATGCCACTCAAAGTAGCATGCCTCACATGGACTGCCCTCAATGAAGCTGTTCTAACACAGGACAATCTTAGCAGAAGGAGCATTACTTTAGTCAACAGATGTTATATGTGCCAACAGAGACCAGAAAGTGTTAACCATCTGTTTCTTCATTGCCCAGTCACTGCTGATATTTGGAACTTCTTCCTATCCATTTTTGGTATAACTTGGATCATGCCTCACACCATCAAGGAAGCCTATATTAGCTAGATTTTTTGGAGAGTTGACAAAGCCATCAAAAGAATATGAAGAATGATCCCAGCAGTCATATTTTGGATTGTTTGGGAGGAAAGAAATGGCAGATGTTTTGATGGAATATCAACTCTAACAACTTCCCTAAAAGCTAGATGTTTAGTTAGTTTGTTCAGTTGGAACTTTCTTTCCCCTGTTAATAGGGTTGACACTTTTTTGGATTTTGTTAGCTCCCTGGTTCTAGCATAGGTACTCTTGTAGTGGAGCTTACAATGTTTTTTGTCTTTTGTACGGGAGCTAACATAATTTCTGTTCTTGTAATTTGGCATCTTCCTGATGCCCTTTCAATGATATTATCTTACTTCATCAAAAAAAAAAAAAAAGAATGTTCACAAACAGATCTACAAAGGAAGGAATTAAAGGCACTACTTCAAGCTTCCGGTTAACTCAACCTTCCATAAGAAGCACGAAAGCAGAAAGATATTCACCAGCATGGAAGGAATTAAAGGCACTACTTCAAGCTTCCGGTTAACTCAACCTTCCATAAGAAGCACGAAAGCAGAAAGATATTCACCAGCATGGAAGGAATTAAAGGCACTACTTCAAGCTTCCGGTTAACTCAACCTTCCATAAGAAGCACGAAAGCAGAAAGATATTAATCAGCATAGGTACTCTTGTACTGGAGCTTACAATGTTTTTTATCTTTTGTACGGGAGCTAACATAATTTTTGTTCTTGTAATTTGGCATCTTCCTGATGTCCTTTCAATGATATTATCTTACTTCATAAAAAAAAAAAAATGTTCACAAACAGATCTACAAAGGAAGGAATTAAAGGCACTACTTCAAGCTTCCGGTTAACTCAACCTTCCATAAGAAGCACGAAAGCAGAAAGATATTCATCAGCATACTCAACGTGATATATTCTCAGAACTCACATTTCAATACAGAAAAGACTCAGCACGAATGATAATGAATAGAGTACAAATGAGAAAAGCTGGATCCGATGAAAATATCCATTTTTCTACTTCCAACTTTCGAAATGGGGAAACAAATATTGGAGCATAGTCTGCCTCTCTCTATCTAGTCAAGAATAAGGATATGCCATGAAAGAAAGCTCAACTTTTTAAGTTAAAATGGCTAATGTTTCACAAAGTATTACCAGCAACAAGTTATGATCTGAGATTGAGAGAAGGTCTTATGTTCTTATCTTTGTACACAGAAGACATTCCCTATTGCTTCCTTGTATTAAAGTTTACCATAAACTTGAAGCGTCCTTGCATACAATAATATATAACTTCCTCCTGTCTCATTTTATATGATGGTATTCAACTCTAAGTAGAATTTAAGACGTGAATTGGACTTAGAAATTATATTATTCATAGTAGATGAAAATATCAAAGTTATGATTAAAAACTTAGTTTTATAGAGAAACCATCAAATCAAAGCTCAAAATTTTAATAGCTAAAAGAACTAAAATTCTTGAAAGTTGTGAAAATTGCATGGAATAATATCAAACATTTTGGGAAAATGGAAAGAGTGTCAGAAATTGGAATGGAGAAAGGGAGTTGTAGACATATCAAATCAAGAAAAGGAAATTTTTTTATGAACAGGTAGCAACTTCACTGTACTGCAGACTAGTTGCATTAGGAGGAAGGCAGATATCAAAAGAAAGTACAACTTGTT